GTTTTCAGAAATTAAGTTTTTCACGGTAGCCCCCGAATCAGTTTCGCAAAATAAGATGTTTATTTATTTATTCAGAAAATTTGCGAAAATCGCGTGCTCTGATGTATTTAAAATAGCGGGGTGTTACACTTGCAACTGCCACAACTGATCTTGTATGGATGCAGTCCTTATTCAGAGAGCTGGGGCTGTTTTTTGAGTCTCCATCTGTTCTGTGGTGTGACAATGCGAGTGCAGCTGCCTTGGCGTCTAATCCATTGCACCATGCTCGTACTAAACACATTGAAATCGATGTTCACTATGTTCGAGAAAAGGTGCTGTCAAAAGAGGTTGAAGTGCGTCATGTACCCTCTGAATTTCAAATAGCTGATGTGCTGACAAAGCCGCTATCTCCTGGACGCTTTCATCTTTTGTGTTCTCGTCTGCCACTTCGAGCTAAGAGCAGTAGGGACTCGTTTCTTGGGGGTGTATTAGTGTAACCGAATTAGTTGGTGATTAGCTGGCATTATTATTAGCTGGCATTATTAGTTTAGCAATTAGTTAGGGTTAGGTTTATAATAACCCACCTCTCAGCTCTCTTGTATAAAAATGTGTAAAAATCAGTTGGCTCAATTAATGAGATTCTTCATCATTCTCATTTTTTGTGTTTTTCATTATCTTTATCAAGAACAAGCAGGTAGTATAAGAAATTAAGAACTCCAACTGTTAAAGCCGTGTAGGAGGAAATTTTGTTTTTTCATAGTATATATATTAGGTTAATTATTATTTAATATTTATAGAATATTATATATTTTACAAAATCAATAAATTAAATTAACTTTTAAGTTATATGACTATTAAGTTAAACTATTATTTATATAATATATATTTTAAAAAATCAATAAGTTAGATTACTTAAAAATTAAGTTAACTATATTTATCAAATATTAAATATTTAAAAATATCAATAAATTAAATTACGGTCCAACCGGTTCAACCATTGGTCGGATCAGTGAACCATTGAACCAGTAGCTTGACCGGTTCGACGACGGTCCGATTTTGACAACTTTGGATTTTTTACATGCAGAAAGGGAGTTGAAAAATCGGCCGACCATGGACAGTATTATGGGGAACTGATCATGAGAATATTATAGAAAGCTTATAGGGTACAGCTGTGAGCGCAAAGTGAATTTTTTTTATTAATTATTTAAAAATTATCGGTATAACGAGTTATATTACAAAACTTTCA